TATAAGTAACGTTTAATCGCTAGAACGCGTGTAACACCCTGATTCCCGACTCAACATTTAATAAACTAATTCAAATAAATTTCACAAATTAGAGTGTCATACATACTTCACCATAGTAACAAAAACCTTCAATAATAAATAGTCGTGTAAAAGTAAGCAGTGAAAATAAACGAGTTTGACAAAAAAAGTCTTAACAACAAACTCCAACATAAGAAGAAAAACAAAATAGAAATAATGGAAGACATCCCATCCCTGGTGCTACATATCAAAGCGACTCCTCTAAGATCCAATGATAAAAAGCTAAAGGGGCATCGACGTCATCCTATAACTTAGTAGTTACTCATGTACCTAATTGTTTGCACTCCCGGGGAACACAAACGTCACAACAACAAACAGGGGGTGAGAATACATCTAACAAATGTTAACGGCGAAATTCAGCAATACAAAATAGTAATAACGAATTATAAGTTATTCCCAGTTACACTCAAAACACAATCACATAGATAATAATGCAAATGCAAATGCAATTCCACCATCTCCTTCTCAAATGCATGTGGTACTAAAATAAGTGGGATTAGAGGTATAATGTTGATATTCTCATGTCTCTGGTTCCTCTCTAGACGTGAAACTGCCATAGTTCCTCTCTGAACTAGGTCATCATTGGACCGAAGTCCTACCTATCTCTGATATAAATAAATGCATGATTTTAAACAACGCAAACATGCGACATCATCATCACAAAATCACAACAAAACACAAGTCTCAAAACATTCTAAAAAAGGTTCCACTCTTGAACCTATAAATTGACAATCACAAGCCTCATTGTAATCCATCTCTGAATTACTATACTCAAAACGCCAATCAAAAACATCATTGTAATCTCTCTCTAAGTATATGTAATAATTAACCTTCTCATTGTTCATCATGTTGAGATTCTTATACTGCTTACATAGAAAGTGAAGCTTCACCTTCTTCATTGATAAATCAATGTCGTAACATCGTACCAGTGTGTCTCACGCAGCATTCGCTGTCATTAAATCAACGATCTTATCAAACACATTTGTATCCATACACTGATGGATATAAAACAACACCTTCTAATCCTTCTTCCTCATTTCTCTATGCGCGTTTCTCTGCGCTTTCGTTGCATCTGCTACAACCGTCGTGTAACCGTCATTGGCGAGATCCAAAACATATTGAGCGTCAAACAACACACACATATGAATCATCCACCAATTTCAATTCTTTCTATTAAATACATGAAGTTTTGTGTTCAAGCTACCGTTTCCGCCATTCATCTTCGTTCTTTTGCAAAATTCACTCAGATCACCAACACTCGTGTTTCCCAATCCCTCAGAATCAAGAAATGTGATTCTGTTTCGATTCAGATTATCATTTCACTGTGAATTGAATGAACAACATCAATCACACACACCTCACGTACACTCATATTTTCTGTTTTTGAATCAAAACCGAAACTCTAGATATCAATTGTTGGAGCACAAGATTGAAGATGAAAAAAACAGAAGAAAGAGAAAATTTTATAACTAACTTTTAATCTCTAACTAAAAACGATTACAATAAATTATATTTTTAAACAGACTAAGTTTTTGCTTATCACTACCAAAAAAACTGGATCCTGCCACGTGAAATTCACTTCACAACAAGGAAAATCACTTCACAAACTGATATTAGCGACGTGACTATTCACGTGGCAGGAGGACGTGTGGCAACTTTGTTGCCACGTAAAAATCACATCACAACTTTGCCACGTGATTTTCACGTCGCAACAAATAAAACAATATTTCAGTCCCAGCAGGCGTAGCAGGTGTGTAAGAAAGTTGTGACGTGATTTTCACTTCACATCTTGCGAAGTGATTTTCACTTCACAACTTGTGAAGTGATTTTCACTTCACAACTTGTGACGTGAATATCACGTGGCTATATTAATTTTTTTAAATTAATTAATTTTTTGGTAGGTTTAAAATTAATTTATATTTAAAATTATAATTATAGTTTGTCCACTCAATTTAATAAATACAATTTATTTTTAATAATAATTTAAATTGGAAAATTAATAAATATAAATAAGAAAAATTAATAAATATAAATAAATATAAATAAATATCAAAATTAAGAATAAATTTTTTAAATAAAAAGTGTATAATATACTAAAATGTAATTAATAATTTTAATATTCAGTTTTTAAAGTAACTAAACATAAATAAATTTAATAACACATAAAAATTAAAAATATTGTTAATATTCAGTTTTTAATATTGTTACTATATATAAAAATTTCTTTCCTTTTCTCACTCTTCTCATTTATAAACAAAAATTCATTTTATTGTTAATAATATTTCTACAAAATTTGTTTTTAATATTCAGTTTTCTATAAATATTCAGTTTTTAATATTGTTACTATATATAAAAATTTCTTTCCTTTTCTCACTTCTCTCATTTATAAACAAAAATTCGTTTTATTGTTAATAATGTTTCTACAAAATTCATTTTTTTAATAATAAATAATAATAATAATATAAACATACAAAAAATTATTCATCTAACAACAATCCAACATTATTTAATCAAACTAAAATAAAAAATTAAATAGCAAAAATACCTCTCCTTCACACTCCTTCAATCTTCTTCAACCTCCTTCTTGTTTCCTTTTCTCACTAAGAATGATAATTTGACAACAAAAAAATTAAATATTAAACCCATATAAAATTACATTTTAAACTAAATTAATAAAAATAAAATTCAACAATAACTATATGAAAGAAAAAATATATTACTTGTACAAGCAAAATTAAAAAACAACTTTAGAAAAATAAAGAAATTTTTTGGAAGAAGAAGAACAAAGGAGAAGAAATTTGTAGAAGAAGAAGAAGCAACACAGAGAGAGAAAGAAAAAGAAGTGGAATAAGTGTGGTCATTTTCACGCGTGCCATAAATAAAATATTAGTGACGTGAATTTCACGTCGCAAATTTGCCACGTGAAATTCACGTCGCAACATATAACGGCTAATATTTAATTATTCACATTAATTGGGTAGCGACGTGAATATCACTTCGCAACTTTGCCACGTGATATTCACGTCACAAAAGTTTCAACGGTCATTTTTATAACCTACAACACAGTCAACCATCACTTCTAAGTCAGATATTTTTCCCTCTTAAATGGTTGCGACGTGATATTCACGTGGCAAACCAAATTTTAAAAATTTTCCCCTTCCCGCTTCCATAGATCTGTCATTTTAGTTATTATTTTTTTTAATTTACATGTTGCGACGTGATTTTCACGTCACTAAAGTATTTTTTAATTTTTAAATCTGACAGGCCATGTGCTATATTTGTTTCATATTATTTTAATATTAAACAGGTTAGTGACGTGAAAATCACTTCACAACTGTCAATATTTTACCACGTGATTTTCACTTCACTAAATCACGTGGCTGGACACAACTTTTCTTATAGTGTATATACATAAATTTAATCTAAATACAATTCAAATGCAAACTAAATTTAAAACAAATGAAAATAATTTGAATTACAACTACGGAGCTTAACTAAACATATTAAATTAGAAAACATTTATATATAGCTAGAAAGTAAGTTTTTTTTAGTACAATAACGATTAATTTTTAAACCTTAATATAGGCTGGAAAGTTAGTTAATTCTCAAATAATCATAATCACTTTTAAAAAAAACTCTAAAATCTAATGAAATATTGAGTAATGCTAACTTGTGTTCCAAGAGCACAAAAATATTAGGTAATGCTAACTTGTGTTTCAAGAACACAAGTTAGGAGATAAATATAGAAAATAATTCTTTGAAATCGTATAAAAAAATTTAATACAGTCTTTTAATTAATGAGTTTATTGTTTTCTCCCATACATATTTTTTATTTGTGAATTTTTTAACATATACTTCAAAGACACAAGTTAACATTACCTTAAAATATTAATTTTCATATTTATTCATTACAATAAATAAGAAGTACTATTTTATTACAGAAAATGAAAAGCATATTACTACATAATCCAACAACTAAAAAAAAGAAAGAAGTAACCAATAATTAGTAATTATTTAATAAACTACTATTAATACTAATTAAAAACAATTATATTGTATACAACTTTAATGATAGCTGTCTAAAGTCTTAGCATAAATTTACTATCAAATGCATAAAAAATACTACTTAATATGTTTTCAAAAAAAAGGATAAATGTAACTAACATTTTTTAAGAGAATAAATTAAGGTAAAATTGATAACGTAGACAGTATACACTAAACCAATACTATTCTAATTTCTATTATATCCTATATTTTGAGTGATTAAAATTGGATATTTATATTTATGATAAAATCTATGGAGGTTATTTAATTTAATTTGAGAATTAGCAAGACACAGGAAATGAGTCCTGTCACTATCTTCATCCCCAACTCATTCTAAGAGTTGTTCTTTACTTTAGTAATTGACTTGGCATTTGATTGTTACCTTCCCACTCTCACAAGGGTCGCCACACAGCCACACGTAAGTGTCCACCACCAATTTGCTTAGTCCCCACCACCATTGAAATTGGACTCCATCCCTAACCAATGTATCATGTAGTAATCTCCATGTATAGGAAGATGTGGGTGAGAAGGAAGACTCTCCTAAACATGATTATTCAGGGTTGTTGTTTTGCAAATAATTTAATACTCAGAATTATATAAAATTTTATTTAACTATAATTTAACTCTTAAAAATTTGAGATTTTATGCGATAGTCCGTTTTCGCACACATTTAAAGACCTCTTAGTATATTCTGATATTTATTGCTTTAACTTTTAACATCCAAAGGTATAAAAAAAAATAAAAAAATTGTAAATTCATTTTAATATTGCTATATAAATTAAGCTCATTCCTTTAACTTTAGCATTCAAACTCTCACTCTCATTCTCTCTTCACCAACATTATAGGAATTCCCAACACCGTCAAAGTACCATACCACCATGCAAGAGGATAAGAAAATGAAAGTGAAGAAAGGATGGCTGGCAGTTCAAGTAGGTTTAGAGGAAGAAGAAGAAGGCGGTTCATCTTCTCAGAAATTCCTCATCCCTATCTCTTATCTTTACCATCCACTTTTCAAGACTCTTCTCGACGAAGCTTACGATGTTTATGGCTACCACACCAATGGTCCTCTCAAGCTTCCGTGTTCTGTTGATGATTTTCTTCATCTCCGTTGGCGAATCGAGAAGGAATCGAGTCATCATAGTCAACATAACGTTAACCATCATCAGCATCGTCTTCCTCATGCTCTGATTTTTCATTCTTGTTGATTCTAATTTTAGAAACTTTTTTTTTTTAATACTGGTGTGATTGAATAGGTTAGTTTTGTTTAGAGATTTGATGATAATACCCTCTGTAATTTTAACTACAAGAGGGAAAGTTGATTTAAAAAAAAAAACTCTGTTTGGAGAAAAATCTTAAGCAGAGAAAACGTAAGTGTCTAGGGTTGTTGTGATGGTGTACTTTGGATTCGAATTTAGCTATAAGAATTGAACGCGGAAAATATCAGATTTTATCTTTGTTGATTCGATCAATTCAGTTATTTTTTCTGTTTTCCAGTAATATCTGAGAAAATTACTGATGTTTCTGTACAGCTACCGACTGAAATATTTAACGCGACTAATCAGTTGAATTCTAATTGAAACTATTAGTTGCTTGGTGGAGAGCAATAGTTAATGGAATAAATATGAATGAATTTTGATGCTGTTGCTCCTAATATGTGGCGAGCAATTGGAATATAGTAGTGGAGTAATGAAGAGAGTAATAGTAGTGAGAGACAGCACATAGGCTTTACTGTCCAACGCGGCAATGCAACGGATCTCCAATGGTACATCGATGCGTCCTCTCTCACTTTACACTCTCTATTTGTCTGCCTGCTAAGCTGGCCTTTCATTCTTTCTTTCTGCTTTATGCCTACTTTCTAGTTTACACACTAGATAGTTGTATGGTGCAGAAGTGTGATAAATGTTGCAGCAGAAACATTTATTGAAGAGTAATTCATATTTGTTTGTGTCTATTGTAGGCACTTAGGATGGTAAATAAACTTGCAACAAAAAAAAATGGTAAATAAACATTTTGAGTAGATTTTGTATGTCTAATAAAATGACAACCAACTATAATAAAAGATATGATTAACTGTTAAATAGATAGTTATCTCATTATCACAATGTTAAATAGTTGGACTTTGATATGGAACTTATATAACAGGTAACATACTTTTGAGCCAAATAATTTTAATTTGTTTATTTGTTTTTCATGATATAGGAGCATTACCAAGTTTCATTAAATAATCGTAGATATAGGTATATTTTTTTTTTTAATGAATATGATTTTTGACAAAACAATATCTTGTCTAAGTGAAAATTTCAAATATCTTTGCACTCTCATAGCTGTATCCTACTGATCTAGAAGTGGTGTTTGCATAAATTGATTTAGGATATGGACAATGTTAATTTTGGAATTATAATAGTAAAATATATGAGTATCCCAACTAGTCTTGTATATTGAGATGGATTTGAATATGGAAGACATTTGGCCAATGCAAGTTTGTAATTCTGTTTCATAGAAAATGAGGAAGGTTTAGAGTCAAACATTCCACATTTATTAAGAATGTCTAGAGTTTTTTTTGGTTGACAAATATAAGACCCTTTTAGTCAACGTGCTAATTCTAAGTAAAAAATATTTCAGAGATCATAGACCTTTCATAAGAAAACACTTACTCAAATGGTGTTTAAATTGATCACAAGCTATGTTACCGTTGCCTTCAATTACTAAATCATCCACATATATCAAAACAGCTAAGAATGTGGGGGGGAAAAATTTGGATTATCAACTTCTATAAGCTTGTTTCAAATCATATATGAATTTCTTTAGATGACATTCTGTGTTTTTGTTTGGAGCTATATAGTCTTGTGGGATGTTCATGTATATTTTTTCTAATCTTCACAGTTTGATTAGAATTTGAAATGGGGGCAAATTCTAAAGTAAGAGGGGAGTATATCTGTAAGACACTTCGATCCTAAAGTAAGAATCGGAAAATGAGAAGGCAAGTATAAAGTAAGTGTTTCTTAAGGTGATTATTGAATTGAATCTTGAATATCTGACTCTCTCGAAGGAGAATGTTTTATAATGCCCCAACACTTCGCCATTGGTCTCTATTTTCGGGGCAAGATATTCGCGCCCCCAAGAATAGGTAATTGCTAGAAACTAGCCGTTGAGACGGTCAGACATTCTCGAAACTAGTCGTTGCTTCGAGCAGGGGCATGGTTTTGGGCAAGGGCGTCGTGGTCGTTCCTGGATGAAAGAATTGTGCGTGATGGACAAAGATGTAACGAATGACAGCTGATCCTGAGGGTCAGCTGGCCAAATATCATCGGCCAAGGGGTAGAAGAGAAATTGATTTCCTTTGCCCTCGGCTGGCAGAGCTTAGGCTATTAGGTCGTTCTTGGTGCAGAAGTGGATTGGGTCATGCCTAACCATTGGGGAAGTCCAGAACAGGAGCCCCCCAAGTCGTTTCTCCTGGGCATAGGAGTGATGACTTAAGGGCAGCTCGTGATCCCGAGGAGGAGTGAGCATGATCGACGTCTGTTACTTCGATGTGGTCGTTCTGTGGTACTCGAGGACACATGTGCCCGAGGAACCCGAAACATTTCCCAGTGCGTGCCCAACGAGCAGGGAGCCCAATGGTTAATGAGACTTAAAGGGATGGAGTGTCACGCTTGCATCGAGCCACGTGCCGTATTTAATGCGTAATGATGGTTATGCTAGGGTCATAATGATGCTCGTACGTCGCGCGTGCTCGTGCACGTGCTCCTGAATGGTATATAAATAGAGGGGGAAGCGTCCATTTCTACTTTCATTTCTTTCTCTTTCCTCGTCCTTTGTTCTTAACTTCTTCAGCCGCCGTCGTTGCTTCCGTCGTACGCAGCTACACGAGCACCGATTCACCTTCATCGGCCACCCTTTATACCTCTTCGATCACGTAAGTTTCTTATCCTTCTCTAATTTACGCAAGTTTCAATCTTAATTTGCTTCGATTTGCATGTGGTTAGGATGAAACTGGATAGAGTAGGGGTGTATTCCGGAGAATGTTGGTGTATGGCGATGGTTGAGTCATTTCCTGCCGCCAACGTCATCGTCGAAGTGTTAGGAATTTAGGTTCTTTATTGATTTCGGCACCGTTGCGACGACGAGTGAGTTTGTCGTCGGTGGAACTTATGAAGTTTCCGATGTATTCATGAGTTTTTTGGTGGATCTTCAACGAAATTATGGGTAGAGTGTTGGGGAGGATCTCCCCACGAGGGCTTAAGGGATTATCCCAGAGAATCTCCTCGCACCTTCATTGCGTCGTTTAAGTAGGGGCTCCGGTCAAGGATGTTGTCCTCGGGCCTTAGCGCGCTCTTTCACTTGACTAGCGGTGGAAGGGTGGATTTGATTTAGCCATCGAATTCACTTTTGTCCTCTGCTTTTCAGGTAAAGGAGATGTCTCGCGAACCCGAGGAAAACGTCGTGCTCGAGCAGGATCTGTCAGAGGAGAGTCCTTCGGATGAGATTAGTTCTAAAGAAACTTTCGTCCCCAGGAATGCTAATGACACCACTGCTCCCAGTAGTTCCGGGAAAGATTGGATCGCTGTTAAGCCTCGGGAGCACACCTCCCTTTTCGCCTTTCATACCCAGGATGCCTTCACGATAGTGGGGGGTCGAGGGAGACTGGGAGGTCCATTTTTCTGAGGAGGACGATCGATTTTTCTCAGATTACAGCGAGAGGTTCCCCGTGTATGAGTTTGTCTTCAAGGATATTGGGTTGAAGCTGCCCTTTATGGATTTTCAGGTGGCAGTTTTTGGGCATCTGGAATTTGCGCCCTCCTAACTACACCCGAACTCGATTGCCTTCATCCGATCATTTAAGATTACATGTGAGTATCTGAAGATTGAGACCACTCCCCCTTCTTTTTTATTGTCTTCCACCTCCAATGTCAGGTCGTGCAAGGGCAGTTCAGATGGGTTTCCCTGAAGCATGGGAGAAATTGTTCAAAGCCTTCTTTAAGTCCATTAGGACGTTTAAGAAGTGGTATTTCATAGTGGAGCCTGTGTCAGAGAGGGCTAAAGACTCCTTGTTCCTCTGGGAGATTGATACGGATGAGAACGGGGATCCCTTTCATAACGAGCAGGGTAAGATACGAGGGCGTGGGGTGTTGAGGTTCCGTTTCTCTTGTAGCGAGGACCATTTTACCAGGGAAACCGAAGAATATATAGCCAAGCCGCCTATGCTGAAGGAGGATGACCTGGCTAGCTACAACAAGCTGGTGGCTTTCTTTGATGGCTTCTGCCCTGCCAAGTGTGAGACTAATGGCGGAGACATTGTTCTTGAAGAAGACGAGGGGCCTAAGATGGAAGCCCGGTATACTAATACTTAGGAGCTCATCGAGTGCGGCACGCGCGATGAGGCTCTGGAACTCTTGGGTAGTTATTTTTCTTCTTAGATCACCCTATGTTGTTGTTTTCTCTTTACTGACACGTGTCCGTTGTTTTGCATGTAAAATGTCTTCCGCTCAGGAACGTTTGGTGAGAAGTGTTGCAGCCAAGCTTAAGATGGGGAAGAAAGCCGGTAAAATTTGTCTCGACGAGCAAGCAGGTCAGCCTCAAGCGGGATCAGGGACATCTTCCTCTGCTCCAACCACCATTGTCACACCCTCATTTTCACCCTAGTCTTGCATATCATATGATTTTCATCATCTATGCATTCCATTAGGTCATAACTTTATATTCAATCATGTGTTTTATTGAGCTCCTAAGGCTTTGGATTAAGAGGTTCTTTGAATCAGAGTTCCTATTTCCTTTGAGGTACCTTCATTCAAGTTTGAAGTAAGGGTTAATTTCTCATTGTCATGGGCATATTTCTATCAAAGTTCATCCAACTACAAAGCCTTCCTCTATCGAGATTCATCAAGTATCAAGTTTATTTGCTTCAGGATTTCTCAAGAGGCATTAAATGATTAAGGTTTCATCATGGTTCTAGTGGAGACTGAAGAGCTAGAGTTTTATTGGTTGTCAACATCTCAAGTTGTTTTCTTCATCAGTATGCACCCAAAGTACGAAGATTAGATTTCTCACCCCTTGTGTTCATAATGTGCATGTGTCGTTCACTTCAGGTTCATTTAAGGCTTATCAGGTCAGGTGTGTATAGGCAGTACTGATAGAGGTTTAATGGTTGACATAAACTTGGTCAGGCAAGGTTCTATTTTAAGATCAATGCCAGGGTATGCAGTTC